ACAAACTCTCGTTGTCATACAAAGCTACTATTTTCAGCTAACTATCCACTTCAGTACACAAACTCTCGTTGTCACACAAAGCTACTATTTTCAGCTAACTATCCACTTCAGTACACAAACTCTCATTGTCATACAAAGCTACTATTTTCAGCTAACTATCCACTTCAGTACACAAACTCTCGTTGTCATACAAAGCTACTATTTTCAGCTAACTATCCACTTCAGTACATATATTCTCACTGTCATCAGAAGTTATTATTTCAGCTAAATAGAAACTGTTAAAATTTCCAACACAGGAACATTATGTATGTGAACTGTACTAATTGAGTTTTAATAGTGTATACTAGGTTTAACTAAGAAACAATTATTGTCTTTAATATCAGAAGAAATGACTCATCAGCCAGAAACAGCATGTAAAAGAATTTTGCAAAGTAACTACTCATTAGTTTAAATAACAAGTAAATAAATAAATACAGCTTTTACAAAGATAAAAATGCAATAAATTTAAAAATGATGGAATATTCAATATAATACACTAAAGAGAATAAGAGCCTAATTGTTACTGTCTTATCAAAATCTAATTATAAACAAAGCTAGGTCAATGAAGAGATTATAACATAACTCAAGACTGTTGTTTGCTACTGATAAAACATATCATAAAAACTCTGTAGTATCTCTAAAGTCAAGGGACTAAAACAGTATTAGGTTTTAAACAAATAAAAATATGCATTAAAGGTTATCAATAAACTTAAGTACAAGCAAGCTGACCTACAAGTAATCCAAAGCAGTTATATCAGCATTAAATGCTTGTAGAAAAATCACAAGTTGAAAATAAGATTGTCAGCTATTGATTTGTTAATAGACTTGTGTTAAGCTGAGAAAGATCTAGATGAAATGTTATCTACATGTAGGTACTTAGAGGGTGGTGTAGCATCAGGATTCAGACATGTTGAAGATGAAGTTGTGAAATGCCTGATGCAGGTGAAAGGTCGTCACAACGTAAGGGCATTCCAGTTGATTTGAGTGTGGATTCTATGAATAAAGGAGATTGTTTCATCTTGGATGCTGGGCCTAATATCTACATTTGGGTAGGGCCACAAAGCAGACACATGGAGAGGATTAAGGCCATTCAAGTTGCCAATGGAATTCGAGACGACATTCATGCTGGTCGGAGTCAAATTTCAATTGTTGGTATGGGTGTTAACTTTTGTAATTGAAAAGTAAAGTATTTAATAAAACTTATACAAGTTGAATAGAATTAAACTCACAATTTAAAAATTCCAGTTCTGGTCATTTACAAACAACATAATTGGACTCCAAAATTCTGAATCGACAAAATAACCTTGACATAAGAAGTTAGGAGAAAGAAAAAAAGCCTAACTTTTTAAATTTTCACAAAATTTGCTTAATAATACAACACTTACAAATGTATTAATCATAATTCATGACACTTATAAACTTATTAATTATAACTCCTTACCCTTGCCCCCTCCGAACCCTGATATAAACAGATTCATTACCTGGTACTATCCACTATACATATCTCACCTAAGACGTCTTTCAAGCTAGAATTGTAATATGGACATACTATATTTCATTTAATTACCCCATCAAAATTTTCTAACCATTTGCTTATTATAAGCACATATTTCTCACTATTTCTATTCCCAGGGACCATATAGGTGTACTTTGATAAGGGTTTTTTGCAATTAATCCAATACAATATGATTTTAGGGCCTTTTTTTTAATAAATAAGAGAAATAATTTTTGTTTTGATATTTTGTGAAATTTCCTAATTTTTGCTTGTGAAGAAGTTAAACTTGTTCAGTGGTATAAGATGTTGGACAGCACATGGCTTACCGTACACCTTTCTTTTTGAAGTAAGAGAGAAACATCTGTGACTCATGACTCTGCACCTCCCGATGTTGAACTGGAGTTCCTCCAAGTGTGTTGTCAAGTGCAACAGCTTTTATAGCTGCTGTTCCTTTCTCATCCTGAGAACAAAATTACTAAAATGTTATGAATTTAAGACTTAGAGTTATTAATGATATCACTGATTGGTCTTCCCTGTTGAGTGATGACAATACTATTGCTACATGTAACTCAGACAACAAGTCAAAATATAGTTTAAAAGGCATAAGATACATAAAATACTACTTCCAAAGTTCAGTAAAAATGTCCAGCATTACAATAACTAGTTCTATAAGTTATATGACATTTACCATAATTATGTATATACCAGTAATTTTATGACAAAAACTGATTTATAACATCCAACTACATAGCTTCCTAATGTATCAAACTAACAATTGTCCCAACTGAATCAGAACATCCAACTACATAGCTTCCTAATGTATCCAAACTAACAATTGTCCGAACTGAATCAGAAGATCTAACTACATAGCTTCCTAATGTATCAAAACTAACAATTGTCCCAACTGAATCAGAAGATCTAACTACATAGCTTCCTAATGTATCAAAACTAACAATTGTCCCAACTGAATCAGAACATCCAACTACATAGCTTCCTAATGTATCAAAACTAACAATTATCCCAACTGAATCAGAAGATCTAACTACATAGTATCCTAATGTATCCAAACTAACAATTGTCCGAACTGAATCAGAAGATCTAACTACATAGCTTCCTAATGTATCAAGACTAACAATTGTCCCAACTGAATCAGAAGACCTAACTACATAGCTTCCTAATGTATCAAAACTAACAATTGTCCCAACTGAATCAGAAGATCTAACTACATAGCTTCCGACTGTATCAAAACTAACAAAACTAACAGGAAAGCATAACATCTTGTATCTAAACCTGATATTCACCAGGAGAGCATAACATCTAGTGTCTAAACCTGATCTCACAAAATACCAGGAGAACATAACATCTAGTATCTAAATCTGATCTTCACCAGGAAAGCATAACATCTTGTATCTAAACCTGATAGTTCTTCTGGTATGTTTTAAAGATCAGGTTTAGTTACTAGATGTTACGTTATTCTGTTATGTTTTGAAGATCAGGTTAAGACACTAGATGTTATGCTCTCCTGGTGAATATCAGGTTTAGATACAAGATGTTATGCTCTCCTGGTGAAGATCAGATTTAGATACTAGATGTTATGTTCTCCTGGTATTTTGTGAGATCAGGTTTAGACACTAGATGTTATGCTCTCCTGGTGAAGTAACATCTACTATCTAAACCAGATCTTCACCAGAAGAACATTATATCTAGTGTCTAAACCTGATCTTATCCAGGAGATCATTACATCTAGTGTATAAGCCTGATCTTACAACAGACCAAGAGAACATTACATCTAATGGACTAAACCTGATCTCACAACAGACCAAGAGAACAAACTATCTGGTGTCCAGTAATGATCTCCACCAGGAGATCATTACATATAGTGTCTAAACCTGATCTTCACCAGAAGAACATTACATCTAATGTCTAAACCTGATCTCACAACAGACCAAGAGAACATACTATCTGGTGTCCAGTAATGATCTCCACCAGGAGATCGTTACATATAGTGTTTAAACCTGATCTTCACCAGAAGAACATTACATATAGTGTCTAAACCTGATCTCACAACAGACCAAGAGAACATACTATCTGGTGTCCAGTGATGATCTCCACCAGGAGATCATTACATATAGTGTCTAAACCTGATCTTCACCAGGAGATCATTACATATAGTGTCTAAACCTGATCTTCACCAGGATAACATTATATATGGTATATAAACCTGAGATCCACAACATACAAGAATAATATAATCAGCTACAACACTACAGATTGTAATGAAATAACATCATAAACTAAGAACAGAACTTTCCGATATCACAGGAGAGATTACTAGGAATTAGTTTAAAGGCTTCAGTTTCCAAGTTGTAAGTGAAATTTTATGCAGATTTTGTAATTGTAATAAACTGTTTTATATGAAATTATGATATTAATATTTTATAGTGTTTAGATGCAGACTTTACATCTCACTTAAATTCAAATGTTCACTGTATAAACTCTTACTTGAGAAGTGTTCTTTCCAAGCCAAAAGTGAATGTTCCACTCCAGTTTTCCAGTTCTTGTCTGCTTTGTCTGTTACATGTTTTAAAGAAAACAACAAACTATGTTTTTACTGAAAATAATTGCAGAAATGAAAAACTCCAAAAAGTTGAAACTACAAATTATTAGTTCTTCAATATATTAGGCTTCAGTAATCTTTTTAATGTATACTACTTACAAGTTTCCTAAGCTAAGCATTTCTCCTGAAACAATGCATGCAATCAATCACAAAATTCCATCAAATCTTTCTATAGAAGATGTAAATTTGATTGTCTGCAGTAACAGACCATATTAAATACTAAATTTTGACATCACAGGATAATAAACATGGGTTATTTCACTGTTAACAGAACATATTAAATACTAAAATTTGACATTACAGGATAATAAACATGGGTTATTTCACTGTTAACAGAACATATTAAATACTAAATTTGACATTACAGGATAATAAACATGGGTTATTTCACTGTTAACAGAACATATTAATACTAAAATTTGACATTACAGGATAATAAACATGGGTTATTTCACTGTTAACAGAACATATTAAATACTAAATTTTGACATTACAGGATAATAAACATGGGTTATTTCACTGTTAACAGAAAAACATTTTAACAGATGCATATAGAAGAAATGTTTGGGTTAACAGAAATAGTTTAACAATGCTGCATTGAGAACTTACATGAAGTAGAACATAAGAGTCTCCTGAGTAGAATGTACCATACTCTTGGCTTTCCAGGGGCTTCACTTCAAAATTCTAGCAAAAAAGTTTTAATTTAAAACCAATTAACTGCAGATACTTACATCAGTTGTTAACCAACTACAAGTGTACTAAGAAGTAGACAAGTTATAATCTTAATGCCATACAGCATTTTAGAAATCATATGGTATACAAATCACAGAGTATTAGGAGAGTTGTTTTTCACAAGACATTGTTTTAGTTTTTTTTACTTTTCTATAAGAAATAAAACTTATTAAAGATTCATATGAATGAACATGATCAACCCAGTGTTCAAACAGACAGAAACCCTCTAAACTTTTACCCAAACATGAACAACTCGGTATCTGGAAAAAACACCTAAATCCACTAAATATTCATACAACATCAACAATTTACAACACATATAAAATAATTTACCATATCAAACTAAACACACGTTGCTTTTTAACTGCTTCTTTTCATGCTGAAACTCCTGAGTTATTGGCAACTTGCACCCCCTTACTTACCTGAAGTTCCTGAATACTTGGTAAACTAGGTATTATGTTGCCTAACCTTAATGTACACTATCTTTATCAAACAGGTACACTACCTTTATCAAACAGATACACTACCATTATCATACAGATACACTACATTTATCAAACATGCACACTACCATTATCAAACAGATACACTACCATTATCATACAGATACACTACCTTTATCAAACAGGTACACTACCTTTATCAAACAGATACACAACCTTTATCAAACAGATACACTACCATTATCATACAGATACACTACATTTATCAAACATGCACACTACCATTATCAAACAGATACACTACCATTATCATACAGATACACTACCTTTATCAAACAGGTACACTACCTTTATCAAACAGATACACTACCATTATCATACAGATACACTACTATTATCATACAGATACACTACTTTATCATACAGATACACTACCATTATCATACAGGTACACTATCTTTATCAAACAGATACACTACCTTTATCAAACAGGTACACTATCTTTATCAAATGGGTACACTACAATTATAACACATGTACACTACCTTTATCAAACAGGTACAATACCTTTATCAAACAGGTACAATACCTTTATAAAACAGGTACACTACATTTATCAAACAGGTACACTACCTTTATAAAACATGAACAGTATTTATCACAAAGAGATATCTAATACTTGTACAGCAAACTAACCTTCACATCAAATATTCATACACCATCAGCTCAATATTTATGTAAAAAACATATTAAATTAGTGTGTAAAATGCATAGTGCATGTTCTCCAACACAGCGTATCACCATCCCAGTGTGCATACAATGCTAACCAAATACTCATATAAAACAAAACAATAGACAATACACATTAATAACATCCATTGTAAGTGCACCTGCAACATGTTGCACCCAAAGAAACAACATAGGATTCCTTCCCAGCATGCATGTTACAAGCTGTGGAATGAGTGGTGGCCAATTGAACACATTTATTATCATATTCAAACATGTATGATGAATATAGGAAATTAAAACTAAACCACTCACATGCACTTCCTACAGTTCATATACAAGTCTACAAAACTCCTGCACTTTCTATAGTTTATATACAAGTCCACAAAACTCCTGCACTTCCTCCAGTTCATACACAAGTCTACAAAATTCCTTCAATTCTTCTAGTTCATATACACGTCTACAAAACACTGCACTATCTATAGTTCTTGTATATACAAGTCTATGAAATCACAATAGGTAGAAAACTGAAACATATCATTGTAACTGTGTAATGCAACTAGGAAACTGGTTTTAGTTCATCCTCTAAGTTTAATTATACTTATATAAAGTAAGTGTGAAAAATAATCCTAGTAACAATTTAGTTTTTCTAAATATTACCACATTTATATCTATAAAATATTCAGCAAAACAATACAGGTAAAAACTGTGGTTTATGTACATGTATAGTTTAGCCTAATATCATAGTGATCAAATAGTTATAACTGAATGTTCCAGTTTTGATCAAGTAGTGGTTATAAAATAAAACCAATTCCAGTATCTGTACTTGTGTTTAATAAGTCTGTTTGTCTTCCCAACAACACGGGTACATTAACTTAAACAAAGACTACATATCACAAAGAACAAAAGTAGTGTTAATGCTTTATAATATCCTGAATTTCAAGACCCTCTCTGGAGAGCCATGCCCTCCAGCAGCCCTTATCTAAGACATAGTTTTTTTTTAGGTTTTAACATTCTCCACATTGTTACTTCCATTTACATGAAAATGTTGAATTTTTCTGAACCCCCTCCCCCAAACTAACTCATTACCATCCTTATGCCTCTAAATACGAAATCCTAGAAATGTCACTATGTGACAACTATCATATTTCACAGTTGATAGCATCAGGACACTAACTACGTCATTAAGATTCGTGTGGACACCAAAACTGCCAACTTTGTATCGTTGAAGTTAAAATTAACAAAGCGTGAGAAACATTGTTATAGAATTTTTCATTACTTGTTTTATGCCTACAATTGACAATTCTGTAAAAGGGCCATAACAATATGTGCGTGCGTGACGAAAACCTGTTGCTTGGTCTCAATACATCTCCCTCTGTGGCATTTAGTGCCAGTTTTATCAGGTGACCGGATGGCGTGTTTTCTCTCTTTCACAGAAGGTCTGGAAAATTCCATAAAAATAAAGTGTTGCCAGGCATACCACCTATAAATTTGAATGTTTTATTTTGTTTTAGACATTCTCTCAGAGTTTCAATCAGGTCTACGTCACATTCCGGTGGAACTGATTCACTAAAAGGGTCATCTACCCTAGTCATCCCTTATTTTACATTGAGAGTGAGCTGGTCAAAAGCAGCCACTGCTAATTCTTGGAAGACTCTAATAGAATATTTGGATTTTACTGTCACTCTTATAACGCATCCACTACCCCAAAGTAAGAAGCACTATTTTGCGGCAACGAAACACGAACCTTGGGACTTGGCCCATGCATGGCCAAGTGGTTAGTGTGCTGGATTGTTTGTCGAGTATCTTTCCCCTAAAACGAAATTTCGAATTTTAATGATTTTTACACATTCATAAAACCTTTCAAGAGTTAATAATTATAGAATATTCTTAATAAACTGGGTACAAGTCTTTATGACGTCAGAGCTGTGTGAAAAGTAAATCTTACTAAACTGGGTATAAATCTTTGTGACGTCAGAGCTGTGTGAAAAGTAAATCTTACTAGACTGGGTATACGTCTTTATAACGTCAGAGCTGTGTAAAAAGTAAATCTTACTGAACTAGGTATAAGTGTTTATGACGTCAGAGCTGTGTGAAAAGTAAATCTTACTAAATTGGATATAAATCTTTATGACGTCTGAGCTGTGTGAAAAGTAAATCTTACTAAACTGGGTATAAGTCTTTATGACGTCAGAGCTGTGTGAAAAGTAAATCTTACTAAACTGGGTATAAGTGTTTATGACGTCAGAGCTGTGGGGATATCTCCTTACTAACCCTAAGACATTCCCCAGTATATTACTCACCTCATGTTCCAGCACGTGATCAACCTTGTATATCGAATACTATTACCTTCCAGCAAATACTTACAGGAAGGGGAGGTTAGCCAGAGCAACCTTCCTTTCTGCTCAACGTGGTGTGACAGGAACTATCTTATCTAGGTACCACTTTCCGTCAGGTTTACGTCACGTTCCGGTGGAATTGATTCACTCCATTCACAATATTACCTGTTTAGTGCTAATTCTTTTAAACGCCTACATAAAATGTGCGTTAACTTACTCTGGTGCTATTCTGAAACTTTAAATATGTATATCAATATATATGTATGTGACCTATAATGTAGGTGTGTATATGTTTGTTCTGTTTCCTTTTTATGCACAAACATATACAATGTTCTGCCCACCGCGGGTATCGAAACCTGATTTTTAGCGTTATAAGTTCAGCCACCCCAAATTTGAAATAATATGTGTATGCGGATATTATATGAATACGTATGTATATATTTAGATATGTTTATTTTGTTGTTCAACGTAAATAAGCCGTCATATTTACCGTTATACCACTGGGGGCATATATATATGTATATAGTACCGATATGTGTACATATACACGTGTTTGTGTGAATTATTCGAGTGCTATCAACAAAAACCGTAACAGAAACAAACGGTAATTCAGATGTGGTGGATTATTCAGAAACATAAACTGGTGTTTCTGCTAATATACAGGACTTTATCGTTATGTAATACTTCCATTATAACCACTCACACCACTATACAGTAGTGTGTTGCCTGTCAGTCATTCAGTAGACACTAAAATCACGTCGCATAAGGGGCACTTAACGTTGCAACTTGTAATGTCCTAACGTCAGTAAAACGTGCGCATGCCATGAATCACGAGAAAAATTATGTGTACTCTGTAAGCTACAACACAGCGTGACATATGAACTTGAAAAACATGAAATACTGATATTAATGCGAAGTTTGTTTGTGTTCAACTTCGCACAGACCTACTCGGGAGTTATCTACGCTGGCTGTCTCTCATTGATCTACTCGGGAGCTATCTACGCTGGCCGTCTCTCACTGACCTACTCGGGGGCTATCTTCGTTGACTATCTCTCATTGACCTTCTCGGGAGCTATCTACGCTGGCTGTCTCACAGTGACCTACTAGAGGGCTATCTACACTCTAGGACTACCGTGCTGGTTGTCCCTGATTCTGAACCAAACGAACTTATCCAAGGAAATGAGTTACACATTGTCTGTTTCACTTGCACGGCATTTGATCCCTATAATTAAAACTAAGAATGCCGCTGCACAGTCGATCGCTAGATATATCTATAGGTTCGAGTAAGGAGTCCAATTTCATCAAATGGACTTCTTACATGAATTGATAAAACAGTTTGTTTATATTAAACTGGTCCACATATTGATCGACCTTGTGTGACCTAATGGTTAGCATACTCGAACTGTAAGTCCGAGGATTCATGATTCGCGGTCCGTTGTCGCCGAAACGCGATCCGTACTTTAAATCGTAGGTGGACTATAAGAGTGACGGTCTATTGAGCTAGACAAAAGTTGACACTAGGAGCTCTTGCTTCGCTGCCTTTCTTTTTGTTAGACGGCTATGAGCAAATATTCCTTGCGAATAGCTTTACGTGAAAAGTATAAACAAACGAATCAACTCCGTCTAGCTGCGCAGTAACCAAGCTAGGCTCTAGATAAGTTATCTTCATCTGAGTGATAACCAAATTTGGCAATAGGACTCTCCTTACATTACAATATATATATGTTCAGTTTGTATTGAAAAGCCACACGTAGACGCTAAGTATAGGTTCAGCACTTATATTCACAGTACTTTACTTTAACGATTATTAAACGTCTACAATCAGACTTTCACCTTCTCTTAAGCTTCTCGTAGGCTTATCAACCTAAGTTCCCAATAAATAATAAGAATTAGTATCATAAGTTCAGTTTTACATGTATATGTAGATAAGCCTCTTCTGCATAATACCATTTGGTCTACTGACAGATAAATATTCCTATATTTATTTGAGAACTGCCTTTAACTATATGTATATTAATGTACAGTTACTTATCACAGTGGGGTAATGTTATTTCAGGACCTTCGTTGTCAACTTACTAGATATAAAAACTGATATCTCTTATATATTTATTCTTCGTTACAATTTTAAACCCCCACCCCCTGGTGGCTCAGCGGTAACATTCGGAGCTTATAACGCTAAACATAGGGTTCGTTACTTGCTGTAGGCACAATAAAGATAGCCCATTTTGCAGCTTCAGAACAAACAAGTCTTTGTCGTGTTATAGGTACCACTTTGTTTAAAATCTTATGTTATAGGTACCACTTTGTTTAAAATATTATGATATAGGTACCACTTTGATTAAAATCTTATGTTATAGGTACCACTTTGTTTAAAATCTTATGTTATAGGTACCACTTTGATTAAAATCTTATGTTATAGGTACCACTTTGTTTAAAATCTTATGTTATAGGTACCACTTTGTTTAAAATCTTATGTTATAGATACCACTTTGTTTAAAATCTTATGTTATAGGTACCACTTTGTTTAAAATCTTATGTTATAGGTACCACTTTGTTTAAAATCTTATGTTATAGGTACCACTTTGTTTAAAATCTTATGTTATAAGTTCCACTTTGTTTAAAATGTTATGTTATAAGTACCACTTTGTTTAAAATCTTATGTTATAGGTACCACTTTGTTTAAAATCTTATGTTATAGTTACCACTTTGTTTAAAATGTTATGTTATAAGTACCACTTTGTTTAAAATCTTATGTTATAGGTACCACTTTGTTTAAAATCTTATGTTATAAGTTCCACTTTGTTTAAAATCTTATGTTATAAGTTCCACTTTGTTTAAAATCTTATGTTATAAGTACCACTTTGTTTAAAATCTTATGTTATAGGTACCACTTTGTTTAAAATCTTATGTTATAGTTACCACTTTGTTTAAAATCTTATGTTATAAGTTCCACTTTGTTTAAAATCTTATGTTATAAGTACCACTTTGTTTAAAATCTTATGTTATAGTACCACTTTGTTTAAAATCTTATGTTATAGTTACCACTTTGTTTGAAATCTTATGTTATAGGTACCACTTTGTTTAAAATCTTATGTTATAGGTACCACTTTGTTTAAAATCTTGTGTTAGATGTAAAGTATATAAGTTGTCCCTAAATAAAAGTAACAAATAGTAATCTCGTTTCTTGTTTGAGAACATCAAATTAATTGTTCTTGTTCGAGTACATAAAATTAACTGTTCTTGTTTGGGTACATCAAATTAATTGTTCTTGTTCGAGTACATCAAATTAACTGTTCTTGTTCGAGTACATCAAATTAACTGTTCTTGTTTGGGTACATCAAATTAATTGTTCTTGTTCGAGTACATCAAATTAACTGTTCTTGTTCGAGTACATAAAATTAATTGTTCTTTTTGGAGTACATCAAATTAATTGTTCTTGTTTGAGTACATCAAATTAATTGTTCTTGTTCGAGTACATCAAATTAATGTTTTTGTTTGAGTACATCAAATTAATTGTTTAGTCGATTGAGAATTACTTTGCTTTGAGCGACGAAGAGCAAAGAAACTATACATATACATATTATCCACTGTTAACAAAGAAACTATACATATATTGTCAACTGTTAACAAAGAAACTATACATATATTGTCAACTGTTAACAAAGAAACTATACATGTATTGCCAACTGTTAACAAAGAAACTATACATATATTATCCACTGTTAACAAAGAAACTATACATATATTGTCAACTGTTAACAAAGAAACTATACATATATTGTCAACTGTTAACAAAGAAACTATACATATATTGTCAACTGTTAACAAAGAAACTAT